TGTAGCCCACTGAAGGCCCTGGAGTAACACAGGGAAGGAAAAAAGAAAGAAAGAATGACTTCTAACTTAACAGTTGGTGGGCAAGAAAAGCTCAAGGGGCAGTGAATCTGGAGAGAAACAGAAAGACTGTATTTGTCTTGTTCCTTAATCCTCTGTTGGAACAGACTGTAGTACCTCAGCAAGTAAAATGTGCACTATAAATACTGAGATACATATTTCTTCACAGATTCTTGGACTCAGCCCTGGTATTTGAAACAAAGCAATGGGGCTGAATCCTGGCATGGATACAAATTTGTTTTTTGCTCATTTTTTTGCCTTTAAAGGCAAGATAGATGTTTGTGTACTGTGAAATTAAGTTTGTTCAAACTGACAGAAGCATTGGAAATCTCCATGCTTTGTGAACTCCTTACATAAGATGAGTAAAGCACGGGGCTTTTATGCCTCATTAGAGTTAAATTTAACATTTGTGCGTTTGCTACCTTACTGATGAATATCTGCATTACATGGATAATAAACTAAAAATATGGAGCTTACCAGGGCTTAGGAACAATTTAATGTACCCCTACTCTGAATGCATGTATGTTTTTATTGTAGGTTCATATCTTGTAGGCAACCATTTTAACGACAAGTGTTTACTGTATAGTTAAGCTAAACAATTCTGTAAAATCTTGCTTGACTTATTTTTACCTTAATCACGCTGTAACTTCTGAGACAGTAACTCTAACAATAAAGTAATGCTGCAACTTTTATGCAAGTTTTGACATAAAATGGCATACAACTCCCAGCATGCCCCAGGCAGCTATGCTGGGATTTGTCAGGATTTTTTCTGTCTATACTTGCATAGGATTGTACCCTAAGTCAAGTAAGCTATATTATGTATTTAGGCTTTGGCAGGGGGTACAGATACGCTGTTTTTTCATTTTTGTGAGGGTCCTGTACTCCTAACCCCCGTGAATGAGGAGAGGTGACTGTACATGTATGAAGTCTTTTCCTACTCGTGGGAGCATTATTCATGGAGTACACCTGGTCCCAGATTAAGAATGAATTCCATACCTGAGATAGTCTTTAAGTCAAATTTGTATGTAATTCAGATCACGTATATAAAACGCTTTAACAAGCACTTCCATATACACTAAATCATATTAAACACAATACAACATTATAATAATGATAATAATGCTGTAATAATAATTACAGGTACTGGGGAGGGAGGGAGGGAATCTATATGTAGGTTTAAAGTATAGTTCTTTAAAAAGTGTGGCTAAAAAGTAGAAAAATAGTTAAAAGATAACACTTCTTGAACTAACATTAAGCCTAACATAGCTTGATGGTGATGAAGATGGGACTGCTGTTGGACCTGGTGCTGAAGAGTCAGAGTTTGATCATGCTGCTGGAGGGGCGGAGGGTTACCATTGGAGTTGCTTTCTAGTTCCAGCTTCGCTGTTCACTGGTGCTGCTTGCTGCAGTCTCCCTCATCCTTCCTCACCTTCCCTTTCTTCCTCCTTCCTTCCTCCCTCTCCTCTCAGCCTGCAGGTTCCTGCCTGCCACTTGAAGACAAGGTGAACCTGATGCTGGAGAGTCAGGGTTTGATTATGCTACTGGAGGGGTGGCTTCCTGTTACGTGTTACATATTTTTTTTAACCAAATAAGCAATTATTGACATTAATAGCAGTTGCTTTGAACATGGTTCTGTAGAGGAGAGGCCTTGTTCATTGTTAATAGGATTGCTAAAAGGGTTTTTACAATAAACTTAAAACATGAGGCATAACTTGTCAATGTTTTTAAATAGGTCTCATTCAAGCAGTTGCTATATTCTTAGTCATTTGCAATGTCCATGCTGAACAGATGAGCTACTGGATGAAGTTTGCTATTTCGCATGCTGTTGTGCAGCATAGTTGGCTTTCTGTCATGTGTGCTTGCAAAAACAGCAAATATATCTTGAGTCATAAGCCAGCCCATTTCATAACATGTTAAATATAACCTAAATTAAACTTGTTCAGTGTAGATGATGTGTATCAATACCTTGGCTTGCAGGACATAGTCTCCTTCTCCTGAAGTGATTGTTGCTATACTTTTTTAGTATTAACAAAATTGTCTCTGCCATTCTCTGACTAGCCATCCCCAGTGTGTCTTCATCACAATGCACTGTGTTTCTACATGGCATTTAGAATTTAATGTTTGTGTAGAGAAAGTTATCCTATAAAGCCCAGTGTATCACTGTATTTGTTGTAGCTTTTCTAATATGTATTCTTTTTACTCTTCATCTTCTATTGAACCAGCCTTTTAGGATGACAACAAAATTAAGGGCTACACTGCAGTGGAGTGCAGTAATCAGCCCAAGCTGTTAAAGGTGCTGCCATAATACTTTACAACCCATATCCATCTTCATTAGAAGTGTAAATATTAATAATTAAGGATGTTAAAAAGAAATCATTATAAATGATTAAAACAGATGCCAGATTTCATGTGAAAAGCACTATGAGAAGTAATTGCTGTCAGCACATCCTCTCACCCTGCTCTTTTTAGCAATTAACCTTTATTGCTGATAATTTACCCTTGTATTCAGAGAGAAACGGGTTTCTCTGAAGAAATATCATACATAACAGTGTCATTATCTGTGGTGCTTGATTACTTTATCATGTGCCACACTGAAATACAGTTTTATTTTAATGTTCATTTGTACATCCCTTATCTGTTCAGTTTATTTCCTGTGAATATTCATATAATACATGGTCGTGCCAAAAGGTTTAATTCTGTTTATTGATCTGAATTGTGATGGACTTTTATTTATTTGACATGCTGAAAAAATGTAGACCATCTTTGGAAATGAAATGGCCATCAATGTGGTTGTATCCCAATCATTGTAAAGGTCTACATTTAAAGGGGTAGGCATAATAACTGCTTGTGTTCAGCTAGTATTAATAGCTTCCATTTCAAGCATGACCTTTCTCACTAGCACTAAGTTCATTTAAAAAGTTAATAGACAATTAAATGAATAAGAGAACATGCCTTTTAAAATAATAATGAAGTGCCTTCCTCTCACCCAACATATCTTAACAGACACTTTACATTTAAAGGTAATACAGATATTGTAAACTGGTAAGCTATTCTTCAATATATTGCAGATTGTAAAATAAAACCATAAAAATGAAGTAATGCATATTCTACTTCCACTGCATGTGTTGGAGCAATTCCTTGGTTTTTCAGTATTTAGTCCCTTTCCATCCCGGCTAATAACTGCTGCTGTACTTGTATGGAAAAAAATGGAGTATTGTCACAAGTTCACAAATGTAAACAAGATTATAGTTAAGATTATTTGTACTTGGCACTAAACATATGAACCAAGAAATTCAAACTCCTAATTATATATGCAAGGCATTAGGGACACAAAGATAGGTCTTACTGGGATTGAGGTAGTTTTTGGGTGGAGTACTGAGGCAGATCCATTTGAGGGTCAATTCATAAACAGTTCCAGTGCAAGCTATGTTTCTGAGCTTGTGTGAAGATGCAGGGAGATACAAGGGCAGGCAAAAGAAGTTCACAGACACAGAGGATGGCCAGAATAGGAAGACAAGCTGAAATAGAAAAAGACAAAGCAGTCATGTAAAGAATGTTGTAGTATGACAGTTTTCTAGACAAAGATCCAGAAGTGGAAGTATTTAAAGCTAAATCAGTTTATGAAGACCACTGATTGTATAAAGGGTTCAAACCTTTGCAATGCCTGGGAGAACAAATATAATCTTTCTTTTCTAAGTGTCCAGCAATGAGTTGTTCAACCCAAGAGATACTAGCATCCAAACCCCAAGAGACTCAGGCGTACTGGATACTGAGGGCAGTTATTCCTATTTTTCTCTTTACAATTTTCAGCGGAAATGATGTGGGCTGTTTTCTATAGCATTGACTGATTTTCTATTATTTTTGTGTTTGCTTTGCTTTTATCTTTTATAGTACCTTCCGAAGGCTCTAACCTTAAAAGTTGCCTAAAATAATTTGAAATAAAATGAATAAACATAAAAACTATTATCATCTATCCTTTGTTTTTTAACCCAAAGAAAGTTGAACGATACTTTATTTCTATGGTGTATAGAAATGCAAACTATTCTCATTTTGGGCACATTGTGTGTATGTATATGTGAAAGAAAGAGAAGGGATGCTTCCTATGTTTATAAGTATTTTTAAAGGATATTTTAATTCCCGATCTTACATTTTTGAAGCACAATATTCATAAACCTATTAGCTTCAGTGAGATAACTTGCCTGTCTGAGTTTTTAAAATGGAGAAACTATTCATAGGTGTGTTTGAATATAATTATAGGACTATGAATACACTTAAAGAAAATTTGCAGTGGCCTTCTCAGTGGAAAGATGAGTTTCGTATTCATGTCATAATTATCTGTAATTGAGAAAAATAGTGATTTACAGTACTTGAGATGAAAAATGTATGAGTGAAGGAACACATTTATCTTTGTAGGATATGCCTGGTCTCTTTACGAAAAGCACAGATGTGAAATTTGCCTCAATAATTAGATTTTTAATTAGTATATGATAAGATAGATAAATTATTGCTCTGTTCACAGTTAGAAAATCCATGTAAACTACCATATATTGAATGGTGGTTCTAAATGGTTATCTTTTTTTCTGACATATTTACGTATTATAAATAAGGAAATTGTTCTGTATCAAATGAAATGTCAGTGTTAATAGTGTAATGTCACAATGGCAGGTGGATTTCTGTGCTGGATAATAACTTTGTTATAATGTGGCTATAATTAACCTTAATGCTTTTGCTCCTGCTGATCTATGGTATATAACCCATTTTTACCTTTCTTTATGTGGTAGAATTCTAGAGTCACCTTTCTACCACCCCATTCTTCCTATATTCACAATGTCTATAACAAGCCAGTAATCCTGATTTTAACAAAGGATTGGAATACAGGTTTAATGATGCACGTTTATACCATGTATTAGTTGCTAAATATAAGTATTCTTATCTTCCTACAGTTGTCGGACAAGTAATCGAAAAAGTTTGATATGCAATGGGCAGTCTCCAGCTATGCCTCGGCCTCATTCACCACTGTCAGCTCACATGGGTAAATTTACTGTTTTCATATTATTAAAAAAATCATTTTTTTCTGAAATGTTTTTTTGTTTGTTTAAAATATGTGGATTTATTTATTTATTTTATTTAAAACATTTTAATGCCGCCCCATCGCAACAAAGCCTTGGGGCGGCTCACAACAAAACAAAATACATGAATATAACAATTAAACAGTAAAAATATTAAAATCCGGTGCATCTCGGCTTAAAAGATTTAAAATCCTATAAATACAAATAAATGAACAATTAAAATGAGATTTAAATAAAAAGGTCTTAGCCTGGAACCAAAAAACAAATAAAAAAATTTATGCTCTAACTTAAGCATTAATTTATAGTCTTGGTAACGATCATTGATCTGATGTTCCTTTTGGAGAACTCTTACACTAGTAGTTCCAGTAGTCATTGCTAAATCAGATTGGAGTGCAGTTCTTTCTAAACACATTTTATATCAGTGTAAATTAGTTGTTGGCATCACCTGCCAACTTATCTTCCATAAGTTTCTCAAATGAGCAATTGATGTTAGTTACTCTAAATCAGTGATCAGTGATTACTAATTCCTTGCACTCCTCCCATAGACGTTACAGTTTTTGGCTGGCTTTTCTGGCCAAGCCTGATACCATAGTGGCAAGCCCCATCGCATAGCAATTTCTGACGTGAAGGCAAGGAAAACACAACAGGTTGGGTAGGCTCGATTGGAGATCCCTAAGTGCCTCTCAGCAGCATTGTTCAGCACATACTGACTTTTCTATTGGAAAAGCTAATGGGAGAATGGCTAGTTGGGCGACACCCTTGGTGCCTCCATCTAATATTGCCCAATAAACATATACTTTACAAGTGGGAGAGTGGCCACTTAAGTGACACTGTATGAAGGATGGGTCAATCTGATGACAGCAGTGGAGAGGTCTGTCCCTGTGTAGCCACTCATCATACTTGCCAATTGCAGAAACTGTTCCTTTCACCTCAAAGAGCAGTCCCACGTAAATATAAATTACATCAAGAGGTATATTTTATTTATTATTGAATAAAGGCATCCTATGCCTGTTCCTTCACAGAGAGACTCACGATCAATCTGCTGATGACCTCTCATGGAAGCCTCATATAGGTGTAAAAAATATGGTTGACAGAATAAAAATCTGTGGAATGCCATAGCTTAGTTGCCAAGGTGAAAAAGAAGTCCCGCAGCCCTCGCCAAATGCTATATCCTGCAGCTATGAGTAAAGCCACCATTCCACCCTGTTGATCTAATAGAATAGCCACTGAGAGCTCAAAAAGGATATACTGTCTTCTTTCTTTCCTGTCTGTAGTCATCTGTCAGACCACTGCAATGCCAAACTTGGGCTTGAAGCCAGACTTAAAAGGATGAAGTCAGATTGAAATAAGTCAAACCTCCCTCTGAGAACTCATCCATTTCCTTCCAAAGAAACTTACTGAAGAAGGGAACATTTGTGACTGCGTGATGCTTATAATAGACCTTACTCTCCCTGCAAATAAGTGCAATAGTATTTTATACAAATGGGCAGCTTATGGATGATGATGGTGCCCTTGAGAAGGACAACTAAAATGGTCAAGAGTTTGGATGAGCTCTCCTGTGAGGAAAGGTTACAAGAACTGACTAGAACTTTGTTGAGTTTAGGAAAAAGGCAAGACATTGGAGGCATGATATACATACAGGTGTACAAAATTATGCCTCATTTGGAGAAAATGGTGAGAGAAACTTTTTTTTCCCTTTCCCATAATACTACACCCAGGTTTGTCCCATGAAGCTATTTGGTGTGAGGTTCAGGAAGAAAAAAGGACAAATATCATAGTACATTGTTAAACTATGGAATTCATTTCCATGAGATATGGTGATGGCCATGCGTTTGCTTTAAAAGGGTCAGCTTTAAAGGAAATTGGACAAATTCATGGAGGAGCATGCAAATCTTGATGACTCTCTGCTGTCTACAGTATCAGAGTCAAATATACATCTCAGGGGATCTTGGGCAGGAGGCTGCTGTTTAAATTCAATCTTGCAGGATCTTGCTTGAGGTGTCCTGTGGGCATCTGGTTGGCTATTGAGTGATCCAGCATGGTTCTTCATATGCTGAAATGCAAATACTGTTTATGCGGGTACACAGTCTCCATCTATATTTCTTCTGTGTAAGTGGAAACCACACCCCAGGATCTTCATAAGGCTCTTGTACTGGGGAAGTGGCCAGGTATGTGCAAATGCTCAGCGCTTCATTTAATGCTGGCAGAAGACTTGAAAGAGTATCGCTTGTCAAACATTTCTAGAAAAATGGTGTCTGTAACAAATCTGCAATTTGTAGTCACTACTAAAGGTTTTTAAAATCTCTTCCATACACAAATATAATTACCTGGTATATTTAATAACACCATCAGACATTCAAAATACTTTAAAATCATGCATGGATAATATCACCTCAATTTTGCATTTTACATGGTAAGTAAAATGTGGAGTTCTGGAGGGAAAATGAGAGCTCTTCAAGATGACAGCTAATTTTTTACTGATAAGTCTGCTCTGAGGACCATTTCACACTTCACATTTTATGCAGAGAGAGTGATTAATGGTATTTCAGTGCTCATCTCTCATATTCTCATAGTCAATAATCTCAAACGTCTATCAGTTTTGACTGATTCATGCAAAAGCATATATGCCTCTTAAGTTGAAAAATACTGAGGATAGCTAATCACATTAAAAGTTTAAACTACTAAAACTTGTTAAAATGGTGATGAAAACATTTCAGAGTAGTGTTTCATGACAGATAATGAGCAACACTATAAACATAACACTTTCCATGGTATTTTCCACTCTACCTCACGTTATGTAATTTTGGAAAACTTTAAGAATCTTACTTCTTTTGAATAAGTGCATGTTCCAGTCACAGAGACAGTACCTTTCTTGTTTGTACCCGAGAACAGTTGGTCATGGAACCAACAAGAAGGGAGACAACCCTGGGCTGAATCCTTTAAGATCCTGCCTAATGTGAGATACGAGTATTGTAGGTTGGAAACTATGACCACGGTGCTATCAGATTAGAAATATATTTAAGAGCAGATTTGGCAAGGAATTAATCACTTGCCAGTAAAGGTAATCATTAATAGAAACATAGAATCATTTAATTGTAGAGTTGGAAGGGGCCAGAAGGCCATCAGGTCCATCTTTCTTCTCAATGCAGGACACCAAATTAAACCATCCCTATCATATGGCTATCTAGTTGCATCTTCACTGCTTCTAGTGTGTGAAAACCCACAACCTCCCTAGGTCATTGGTTCCATTGTTCTACTGTTCTAACAGGATTTTTTTACCCTGATATCTAGGCAGAATTTGGTTTTCTGTAACTTGAGTCATTATTCCATGTCCTGCTCTCTGAGATGACTGGAAAGAGATCCTGTCCTTCCTCTTCATGACAGCCTTTCAAGTACTGGTAGAGAGTATCATATCTCCTTTCAGCCTTCTCTTCAGATTGGAAGAACTGGCTAAACATGCCCAGTTCTTCCAATCTGTCCTCACTGGGCTTTGTTTCCAGTCCTTGGATCATCCTCGTTGCCCTCTTCTGAACCCTTTCCAGCTTGTCTGCATTTTGCTTAAACGGTGGTGCCCAGATAAGCCTAACCAGTGCTGTGTAAAGAGGAACTAGTACTTCATGTCATTGATGAAAATGTTGAAGAGTACTAGGCCCAGGATGAACCCTGAAGTACTCCAGTTGTTACGCACAGTTTGAGAAGATACCATGGATGAGCACTCTTTGAATCCAGTTGTGTAGGCAGCTGTGGATCCACCTGATCATTGTTCCACCTAGCCCACTGTCGGTTAATCAGGATATCATGGCGCACTTCGTCAAAAGCTTTGCTGAAGTCAAAATTATGTCCAAAGCATTCCCTCAATCCATCAGGGAGACTATCCAATCAAAAAATTCATTCAGTTTAGTCTGGTAGGATTTGTTCTTAAGAAATCCATGTTGGCTCAAGTAATCAGTGCATTGTTTTCAAGGCGTTTGCAGACTAACTGCTTTATAATCTGCTCCAGAATTTTCCCACAGATTGACAGCAGAATGACTGGTCTATAGTTTCCAGGTTTTTCTTTTATTCCTTTCTTGAAGATAGGAACAACATTAGCCCTTCTCTAGTCATCTGGCCCTTCCACTGTCCTCCATAATTTCTAAAAGAATAATCAACAGTGTTCTGAGAGTTCTACTGCCAGCTCCTTTATGATGAGTTCTAGTCTAGGATGGAGTTCATGAGCCTAGGATGGAGTTCATTGGGTCCTGGAGATTTGAACTCAGTCTATTCAATTAGGTGATCCTTGACCATTTGCCTATTAATCTTGAGCTGTCATCCTGCTTTTTCAGCTTGTACTTTCACTTCTTGAATAAGTTCATAGATCTTTTTTGGGAGAAGACTGAGGCAAAGCAGGAAGTGAGAACTTCTGCCTTTCTTTATCGTCTGTTATCATTTTGCCATCCACACCAAGTAGTTGTCTTTTCTTTGTCTTTTACTTTGTACATATCTGAAGCAGGCTTTTTGTTGTTTTTAGCATCACTCACTAGTCAGATTTCATTCCTATCTTTAGCCTCCCTGATACCTTTCCTGCAATTCTGTGCCATCTCCCCGTATTCTTCTGTTGTAGTCTGGCCTTCCTTTCACTCTCTATACATGTTTTTTTGTTGTTTTTGTTTTCAGATCATCTCTAATGTTTTTGTGAGGCTGCACAGGCTTCTTCTGTTGTCCTCTACTCATTTTCCTTGTTGAGATTGTTTGTAAGTGTGCCTTTGGAATTTCCGGGGATTTTTTTTGAAAAAAATCCCACCCATCTTGGACTCTTTTTCTCATTAGAGTCACTTGTCATAGGATCTTACTTGTCATTTGTTCTGAGTTTATTAAAATTGGCTTTCTTGAAATCCAGGATAAATGGTTGGCTACATTTGTCTTTTGCTTCCTTTAGAATCAAGAATTTTCCAACTCCCAGTCTGGCTAGCTGCTCCAGAAGGAT